TGTCCCCCATTTTGACCTCGGGGCTTCCAGTCCATATTCTGCATATATATATATATATATATATATATTAATAATCATTGATATATTTAATGGATTTATGAAAAGATCAAAATATTATTGTGAATCTAAATTGGATTCCGATTACTTGTCTAAACTTTTGGGAAAGTTTGGAAAAAAGTAGAAATTCAACACAGGAAACCCTTGTAGTCCAGCAGCGCCATCAGAAACAACTCATTATTGGGCAGGACAAGAATACCCCTAGTTGATTAAGATACTCTTTACTGGCTTCTGCTCTGGGTTCCATCTGGTTCCTCCCTCCCTCTCAGCTGGATTGATCATGTCTTCTGTCACATGTATTCCTTCTGCCTAGCTATTTTACAGTCAGGATGTCTATCATTCTCTCATCGTTCTTCGTCCCTCTTGTTTCAAACATTGCAGTGGGGCTACATTCACACAGCTTACCAATGAGGTTCCAATATTTTTCGTCCATATGCGATCCATATCCGTCACCACAGACTTTCATGTGTCCGAACGGTCTAATTCTGATCTATCCACTCCCCAACTCCTATCCGTCACTTCCATATGTGGAACTAAAGCTGTGAAGTTTTCAAAACCTCAGAAGTCAGAAAGGTCATGTCGCGTTTTATCTGACTTTGACGTTGTTGATGTGAGACATTTATTATATTTCTGCACCAGAAGAAGCCAGATGCAGTAAATTTGGACAAAAACAATGGCTGAAACTTATAATTATGAAAGAAGTCCGTGTCAGTGACATACACCACTCATTGTACCAGCTACACATCTCTACAAAAGCTGCAGTCAATGCTCCACAAAAGACAGTGGCTATTCGTTGTACTTTCTTATCATTACCTTCCTTTATGATGTTATGATCTTGTGGCAATACTGCTGGTTCAACTGGTTCTGCTCAACAACTTTAAAATCACTCCATATCACTTTTATATCCATATCACCTTGTAAAGCTCTATGAGCTCACAGAAATGGCCTCACCCAATGTCATCTGAGGAAGATCATGGAGTGTTTTGCCATGTGTCTCAGAGATACTTAGTTTCTCTTCACTCTAAAACACTTAAATATCATAGAATAAGGTCATTTTAAAGAGTAATGTTTTGATGTGTGGACTGTAGTAATATGACAAACATTGTTTCAAACTGGAGGTGTGCTGATCAATCGGCCACCGATCCTAATCGTCCACCAATCCTAATCGGCCACCAATCCTAATCGACCGATTTCCGTGAAAAAGTGTATGATCGGTGATCGCCAATCACGGTCTTTTGTGGCCGATCACCAAAACCGATCACCTGCATCTTTGCAGCCTGCGAAGATACAGGTGCCTGTGCAGCTATCTCCTCTGTCCTTCACACTGTGCAAGCGCACAGCAACAAATCCTGTCGTGTGGAACTTTAACGCTCCGAGTGAATGGGGATGTTGCGTGTTGCTGTGGAAAATTACCTCGGGGTGAAGCACGTCAAAATGCATCAACATAAGTCTAATATGACATTTATAAAACAAGCACTTGACAGAGTTTGGCTATAACGAGGCTCACTACAGAGAAAAAAATACA